CATAGCAAAAAAAAAAAAAAGTACAAGTGCACATAGATGTACTTTAGGTTGCTCTGTGTCTGTATTTACCAAGTTCAACTGTTCGTAAGGCTCTTTGAACAACTTTCCAAATGTTTCCTTACAAGCTGCATCATGTTCAAGCTCTGAAGGAAACGGATTTAACCCGAAGTGTTGATTTTCTAATAAAGACTGGAACTTTATTACCAGTGATCTGCCAGTATCTTATAGACTGATGAAACACACCCCGCCCTTTCTGGAAGTGTTATCATTACCTGGTTGGAAACTAATGCGCATGTAGTATTTCCTACCCACGTCGATGATGTTAAGCTGACAGCGTGACGTCATATCACAGCTGTCTTTGTTCTTGGACCATACTTTTTTTAGCCGCGGATGAACGACTCATAGTACAGCTCTGGTTTTTTTTTGTTTCCAAGTACAAACGTTTAGGTCATAGCTCCGTCATCTCTTGGCAGATTTGAGATCTAATTACAGTTTTCGATTCAGGAGGTCAAACCCTTTCGATTGATATATTTGACCACGCCCAAGGTCTCATAGATTAATTTATTCCAATCCTGCCTAAAATAATTTTAATTTGAGGGTGGGTTGGTAGAGATCCTGATGAGTAATAAAATCGAATCTGGTGTAAGCGCGCTCCACGCTTGGTATTGCTGGTGCACAAAAATATATCTAATGAAAAGGGAAACAAAGGTCTCATAGATTAATTTACTCTAATTCTGCCTAAAATAATTTCAAGTGCCATGGCTATTGAGGATTCCCTCTTCTTTTTTTTTCTTTTTCTCTTGAAGAACCATCAGCACAATCTAAGCTACACGGCACCATACAATGAAATGTGATAGACGCTATGGTTTTCATGCAGAATGGTACCCCTCTGCATATTGACAACCAGGTGAAATACGTCTTTCAGAACAGAATCATTTCACATTAAGTTTCTTGTGAATGGTTACCTCGTTCATTAGAAGTAACACCAGCGGATTTCTTTTTGTGTGGGGTACCTGAAGTCACGCGCGTACCGTGGAAAGCTTGTACAATTCCTGACTACGAGGATGCAGTTGTCCACGAAGTGACCAGTGTAATCAGATGACGTACGTATTGTTTCTTTAATATCCGTTGCCACACGAATGTATTGAATGTTGGACACTGGAGAAGCACATTTTAAACAGTTGCTGTGATTGATCAGACATTATACCATAGTGGCGCCCCTGGCGGCAACGCGTGACAGCTGCGGTATTTGCATCTACATGGTTCTCTGCGGAATTACAACGCTAGAAACCGGGTTTCGATACCCGTGGTGCGCAGAGCACATATAGCCCATTGTGTAGCTTTGTGTTTAATTCCAAAAAACAAACAAACAAACTTAACATCCTTGCGCAATTTCACCTTCTTATGCCATACTGTTTGTGAGATATGACGTGCTTAACTGTGAAACTTTCTTTATAGTCACCCTGTATAATGTTTACCAGGTCCTCCGTCCCTTAGGAAGAACTCTAACAATAAGTGGGAACTGATTGTATACCCAGGGTCAGATTTTAGTATTATCTTAATAGAACTCTAACAATAAGTGGGAAATGATTGTATACCTAGGGGCAGATTTTAGTATTATTTTAATACATTTTAATTGGCTTTTATATTATCACCTGTCTAGTTCTTGAGAGCATGGATTTTAAGTTTATGAGCACTCTAGAATAAAACAAAATTAGAACCGTAGGATGATAAAAGATGTTCAGGAAATATTTTTGTGCGTTAGCCTATCTTCAAAATGCTATACACAAATTTACGAATATTACAATAATCACGAAAAAATGAGAGAACTGAAAATAAATTTAATGTTCAATAAAACACTTCTTCCAAAAGTGCATGCATTTTCTTAAAAGCTTATATATTTCTTCTAATCCAACACATTAAGCGTGTTAGTGTACGTCGAACAGAGGAGTCGCATCTCACACTTAACTGTGCTCTAGTAAATGTAGCATCTAAATCAACAGGTTTTAGTGTAAAGCATGTATTCTAATATATATAATCGTCAATAATAAATTTCCAGAAAAGTCAAATGCTTGACTGAAGTTTCCATTGCAGTACTCTTGTAAGCAGAAATATATTACATATCAAAAGTTGTTTTTTTTTTCCTTTCCATTTCTATAACAGATGTTCTTTTGCGATATTTTAGATATTTTTACACACGATTTCCATCATTCTCATAAATGTTTGTTTTGACTTCTGGAGACGCTTCAGGAATGATTTTGACTAGCAATACTTGCACAAGAAAACTTCTCGCCTAAGGATAAGAATTGCACAGGGAAATCTCTAATTTGGGAGGTGGGTGACAGGGGATAGGCTTATAAAATAAATGGTCTCTTACCTTGGGACTAAAATTTGCATGCTAAAAAGTATCTTAACGTCGGGAAGTAATGTTAGACTTACATAAGAAAACCTCTAACTGAGGGTCTAAGCCTAGGCAAAGAAGACTCGCATATGGTGAAAAGACTTATACAGAAAAGCCTCTTACTTGGGACAAGACTTGCACACGAACGTATCGTAACTTGAACAAGGGCGGCGTTTGTAGGTGCAAATTTAAAAACATGAGGTTCATAATATTGCTATTATGTGTTAATGACTAATCTGTCAACACCCGCCCCCTATATGAATATGATAAAGTGAACTTTAAATTAAAAAAAAAACAATCAAAATAAGCTACCTTGTAATGTGCAATGCTTCAATTTCAATATGTAATTCCATATAGCTCTATAGAACGTTATATGGTGAAACTTATGATAAATCATCAACCAGAAACACTGATTACATGGTTTACAATTAGGTTGTCCTGAGTCAGAACATCTGACATTCTATCGGCGCATTGTGAAAAAGTTACAGATTGGGTAAACATTTCAAACAGGACTACTTGAGGATCGGACTTTAACTGAGTGCACATAAAAGTCCACCGAAATAGAAAATATGTCACGTGACAATTGGTCATTGTTGCTGTCTCGAGTTTGGCTAGTATAGTATAAAACTTAATTCTCTATACAATAGCAATAGTAACGGTGATCAACAGCGTACGATAAAACTGGCTAAAGTCCAGAGATGAAAAAATAAAATTTAGTTTAAAAAATCCTTATTGAAGTTCAATATCTCGCACCTGCCTAAGGCCATTTCTGACCTGGAGTCAGAATATGAAATGTAAATTTTCTATAGGTTTTTATGAATTTATATAGTTGCAATTTGAAACAGACATTTTTTTATCCATGGAAAATCAACGAGATAATCTAAGCTTATGGAAAATGGTACTTTAATCTTTTTTTTTTACTTTCTGAATAGTAACCTACTTCTGGTAAGATCAACTTGACTGAGAATCTAATACTGAAATGCATCGTGAATTTTCTGTCCAACTTATTGTTTTCTATTCTGGGGTCGAGCGTTGCATAGTGCTTAGCGTGCCGGGTTGTGAATCCGAGGTTCTACGATTAATATTCCGTTGCTATATATATATTTATATAAAAATAGCGCTTCGCATTTAGGAGACGTCGGTGCGTTAAAAGATTGGCTGTAAAATATCAATATTCAATTATTATCAAGGTCTGACATGGTCTGGTGGTTAGAATATTCGACTCGCAATTTGTGGTTTCGGGATCAAAGTCCGTCGCCAAATATGCCTACACTTTAGATCGTGGAAGAAGTTACAATGTAGCGGTCAATCCCAATATTTGTTGGTAAGGTGTTAGTCCAAAAGTTGCCTTTCCTCTAATCTATCACTTCAAAATTAATGATGGTTAGCGCAGATAGCCTTCTAGTTATTTTGCGGGAAAAGTCAAGAAACAAATAGACAATTATCCCATAAGTTGGCGGTGGGTATTGTTGGCTAGTTGTCTTCCCTTTAGTCTATTCGAGGCGCGTGAACAGTCGGCATGTAGCTGATTTATTTAAGTTTAGAAGACCTAATTGTCACTTAAACACTGGATTTAAAAATCAATTTTATGATTTCTCAAAAAAACAAAAATCAATAACCTGGCTACATCAACTACTCTGTAAGAATGTTACAGTAAACACGTGTCTTCAATGTAGTTACCAGAAAGATGACTCCTCCTTCTTTCTCCTTTTTTGGAGAGAGAGAAACACAGGAAACAACAATAAAGGTTATTCATTCTAAAGAACAAGGTAAAAACAACGAATCCCATTAGCTTAAACTTTCAATAATATTTTGTATTACTTTCTTGGGTAAATATTACCTTGGAAACGCATAAAAAAAGAATAACGAATCATTTGGCGTATCTTGCGTGCAGGTACAAGAACCAGTACATACTTATACACACTTATACGTATACAGTAAATATATTAGCAAAAGAATCCGCCATTACCTTGCTAAAAAAAGTAAGGTTATAATGGGGGCGTGGTCACCCCTTCCAATATTTTGAACCGTTCGGTCGATGCAACGGTACGCGGTATTAAATGTTACTTTCGTTTGTCATCGGCTTCACGTATTTTGCTTCCGACCTCCAGGCTCAGTTGAGCCCTTCCTCGCGGCATTAAGGCGGTAAATTAAAGGGGCTTCAAAACTCTAACCGTTCACCCCATAACTTATTCTTTCAAATTTGATCTTTGTGGAACCCATCTGAGTTCCTCTTCCATATTTCATCAAACTGGTTCAGCCAATTCCTCACAACAACGTCTGACACCAGACAGACGGATGGGTTTACTTTATATATATATATACACGCACAATTTATATATATATATATACGTAGTCACTCAATTTATAAGTGATTTATAAGTGATTCGTGTCTCAACTTATGCCCTTTAATGTATTATCTTAATACAAATAAACTTTCTGTTCTTAATATAAAGTAAAACGTTTGAAATTTTCAGACAAAGCTAAGATAGTTTTATCTAAATAATACCTACCAGCAATTAAAATATCACTATAGTTTTCACTTAAACAACATTACAGAAAAGGAATACAAGCTGCTAAAGAACGAGAAAATACTGACCTCTTCACATAGTGCCATCATCCGCCTGGTGGATTCCAGACTCTAGAAAACGATAGAAAAAAAATAATTTCATTAATTTTTGTATTAATGACCCAAGAAACACTGAAACGAAATATTAAATTAGTAAGACATTCAAGTGATCTATGATGAATCCCAGGTGCATCATTTTCCATAATCAAAACTAAGTATAAATGAAAAATGTTTATAAAAACCAAAAAAAAAAACACTTTCAGCTGGAACCTTTCCATGATTGAAGTCGAAAGTTGTTAACACAATTAGAAGAGTGTCAACTTCAGTGGAGTTCTTGATAACATTTCTTGTGTGACAATGTAAGATAATCACTTGTAGTTTTCAAGTTTAATTTACACTGCTGGATTATGTTAATGCTTCATTAGGAGGGTGTCACTATCTTTTTTACATCGTGACACGAATACGTGAATTTAAAAAAAATGTTTTTTCGAAACGGGGAATTGTTACAATGAAATTCACTGAATAGGTGGACAATTAGAATTGTCTGACATTGTTCGTTATGATGTGTTATGATTTTTTTTGTGTGTGGACACATTTACAAGTTAAGTTTTTAACTGGCTATCATTTAAGTAAATAATAAAAGAGCTGTAAATATTTTAATCATTGTGTGAGAGTAATATTTACAACTGAACTGTAGCCGAATTCTTTCATTTTGAATGCTTATAATACTAAAATTCGGGATTCGAACCCTGAAATAGCCACAGATTATATTGAATTGCTTTGTGCTTAAAAAGAAAACGAAAAACTATTTTGCCAGTTAGTGTTAAATTCGTCTCCTAATATACTTATACAACGTGATGCTTAGTTAAAACCCAAACTTTTAAAAATGACATGCGCGTAGATAGCATCAGAAAAATTCGTATGGCACTTTAATTTGCATCCAAATTACATCCGAGTTGTAGAGTCGAAAGCAAAGCCACCTTACGGTAAGCTTTTGCAGCAAAGAAAATATCGCGTAGATATAGTAACACTGAAACCCGTGTAATCATTGTTTGAGAGATTACAACGAAACTGCGGTGTTATTTCTAAATGAAAATACTACCAAGCAGTACATCTCACAAGTAATAATAATTAATCAGGAAACTACCAGCTTTCTCTTTCATATGTAATAAAATAATTTTTTTTTATCGGAAAACTAATAATACACCAGCACAATAATGAACAAATTATTAACTAGTTAATAAAACATAAAAACTACGACTAGTTTCGACAGGGCAAGCTTGTAATTCTCAATGGACAAAGTAATTTTGGAGTAATTAGGTTTTTACTAGTTTAACAGGATTGTTTCAATACTCTAATTTACACGAACGCGCTAATACAGGATTATTTGTATATAATGATTCAATATAGGATCATTTATGTGCAGTGATTCACTAAACAGTTTTTATATAACCTTAAAAGACAAGAACTGCTAAAAATATTGTATTGAGTTCTTTTATCCTGAAATAAAAGCGAGACTCTTCACTTTGAAATCTGAAAACTCCCCATCAATTTATCGTAAAGGAAGTACGTAGTCTGTGTAAAACAAATATGTAGTCAAAATAAAGAAAATACATGGTCAATATATAAGAAGTCAGTTTAAGTACATAGTCAGTGTGAAAGAAAGAAGTGCGTTGTCAGTGTAAGAGAAGTATGTAATCAAAACAAAAGAAATCCATAGTCAGTAGTAAAGAAAGGTACATGTAGTTAATATAAAACGTATATGGTCCGTATAATTTATAAGTACATATTCATTGTAAAAGGAGTACACAGTCAGTAGAAATTCGTTGTCAGTGTAAGAGAAGTATGTAATCAAAACAAAAGAAATCCATAGTCAGTAGTAAAGAAAGGTACATGTAGTTAATATAAAACGTATATGGTCCGTATAATTTATAAGTACATATTCAATGTAAAAGGAGTACACAGTCAGTAGAAATTCGTAGTCAGCGTAAGAGAAGTATGAATCAGTATAAGTACACATAGGTGTGAAAGAAAGAAGTATATAGTCAGTGTAAATACGTAGTCAGTGTAAATAGGAAAAAGTTAGCGTAAAGGAAGTACACAAATTGCTTGATAGATAAAATATATTTAATAGCGATTAGGATTAGGAAAAACGTGATTTTTAGCCAATAGAGAAAGATTTTCCAGGTAACATTTAACGCAGTTACGTTAAAGTTACTTCAGTAACCAATGTTTTAAGTAACTAACTGATCAAATATTTCAGTTACAAAATCTCTCAAGTATCCTTTATCAAAGCAATGTGTTGGTTTCCAACATATAAAATTTGTATTTTCTCTCTCTGTCTTCCACAGTCGTTATAGAATTTCACGTAGTTATTATAAATTACAGCAGACAATCAAACGTAAGAAAATAAACGTTTAGTAATTACAGAATAACAGGAAATGTAGATGGACTTTAAATATATCTGCAAGCGAAGCGACTTTAACACTTTTCTTACTGTAGTTTAGTTAATATTACTTAAAGTTTTGTTATTACACTGCTTTAACTTTTGTTACTACACTGCTATAATGCGAATGAAGAATAACATTATGTATTAAGTCTTCTAACTCCTTGCGAAAAGTCGTTAAAATTCAGAACAAGCTAACTGATTTTTGAAGAAAAGGTTTTGTTGGAAGTATATTAAACTTGCGGAACTTCCAGTGAATCATCAAAATCCTCGAACTCAGGAAGTCCATTGTTATCCCCTTCCTAGGTATGACTCAACTACAATAGAAGTCCATTGTTATCCTCTTCCTAGGTGTGACTCAACTACAATAGAAGTCCATTGTTATCCCCTTCCTAGGTATGACTCAACTACAAAAGAAGTCCATTGTTATCCCCTTCCTAGGTATGACTCAACTACAATAGAAGTCCATTGTTATCCTCTTCCTAGGTATGACTCAACTACAATAGAAGTCCATTGTTATCCTCTTCCTAGGTATGACTCAACTACAAAAGAAGTCCATTGTTATCCTCTTCCTAGGTATGACTCAACTACAATAGAAGTCCATTGTTATCCTCTTCCTAGGTATGACTCAACTACAATAGAAGTCCATTGTTATCCTCTTCCTAGG